TAGCGGCCATATCAAGGGCGGCCTTGGTTTAGGAAAAAGCCAATTTTTGTTGTGGTGATCAAGAGGCCAAGCTCTCTATCGAGAGAAACGGGGGCAAAGCCAGGCATACCAGGAACCCTTCTGGAGGGCGTGGAAGTCTAGCGGTCGACCGTAGGGGGGAGGCAGGGGAGCTAGCAGCTGTGTCAGTCTCCTGCAGAGTCACTTCTGGATCCTCTTCAATTTTCGGCTGATGGTAATGAACTTCAACCGTCTTCTTGATGGCAGCATCAACCTGGTTCCGTGGATGACAGGTCGCGGGTTTTGATCTCTGTCTCGCTTAATCTTGATGTCCTGCGCACATCCTCTCAATGAGGGTCCGTCCAGGGGGGTCCGTGCCTCGAGCCCCACGTCTGGGTGCCACTTGACCCGACTGGCAGGCACTAGTTATTCGTGGGGGCGAGGAGGACTGCAACCTGCTATTCTTCAGAAGATATGGTACACTGCTTGAGTTATGGTCTCCTTGCTATTCTTCAGATGATATGGTACACTGCTTTGAGTCTATCTGCAGTTTCCAAGCAGGATCTTGCAGTTGCCAAGCTTCAGGGAACCTTGTGCAGCTGGGAAAAGGTAGGGGGTGAGGGTAAGGGCGAGGATCCTGACTTCTGGCCCATCTGGATTAGAACTTCTATTGGCAGGAATCACGGGTGATTCATTTTTGCCTGGAAAGAAAAAAGAAGGGGATTCTCAGGGAGATTTCTCTTCCCTGGATGTAAATTATTATTCATCGTATTTATGGTTGGGCCTGGCTTTGTGAGTGTATCTATTTTTTTTCATTAATATTTATGGTAGCCGGTTAGCTGTGCCTTCTGTGGTATTGGACAGGCATATCAGTCCTCGGCTCCATAAGGGAACTGGGTCTGGGGCATTCCCTTTACGGGTATGAGGGTTCTTCCCCATATCTGTGGCAAAGTTTTGTTGGTCTTGGTGGTGCCCGAGGTCACCAACATGGTCAGCAAGAGATTTGCCATGAGCTTTCAGCTTAAGAGAGAGAAAAGTGAACAAGGCATGATGGAGAGTATTTCAGGGGGGCTCCTTCTGAGGGGGTACCGTTCCCCCTCTTTTATTTTTAAAGCCAATTTTTCAGAGTTCTTGTAAAATCAGGGCTGAAGCGCCAACAGTTGCTCCTTCTACACTCAGAGAGTCATGAAGACCTTATTTAAGGATATATAAATCTATATTTATAATCTTTTGTCAAAGGACTTTTATAGCACCACTGACAATTAATCAGACTATATGATATATCGATTGGAAATAGCTTTTTCTACTTTTTGTGAGATTACCTCTCTTCTGTCAATTAACTGTTGAGGAAGTTAGGGTTTACCTCTCTCTTGAGAATATTGATCAGAGATTTAAGTTCTTTTGTGGAGAGCTTAAAATAGGATCTTAGCCAATTTGCAACTCCTAGAAACTTTTGAAATTAATTTAAGATAAGTAAACTCCCTTTTTTAAAAAAATCCTTTATCTGTGTGGGTTTTTTATTGGGTATTATACGTATTTACCTTTCAATGTTATCTCCTTTCTCATTCTCCCCCAAGATCCTTTATCCCATACCCACTCCTCCTAATTTTTGTGATGGTGTGCTCCAAACATCCTCCCAGTCCCATCTCCCTGCTCTCGAATTCCCACACAGTAGGGAATCCAAACTTTCAGGGACCTTGGCCCTCCACTTTCACTGAAGTCTAACAAGGACACCCTCAATTCCCTATACAGGTGTGTGAGTCCCTCCCTTTGTGTTCTCTGGTTTAGACTTTGGGAGTTCTGGTTGAAACTTTTGATACTCCTTCTAGAAAGGACCAACGAATTCATACTTTGGTCTTCCTTCTTCTATGTGAGTTTTATGTGGTCTGTATGTAGGTTCTTAGACATTGTGAGCTTTTGGTCTAATATCCACTTATCAATGAGTGCATACCAAGTATGTTCTTTTGAGATTGGGTCATCTCACTCAAGATGATATTTTCCAGCTCCATCCATTTGCCTAGGAATTTTGTGAACTGATTGTTCTTAATAGCTGAGTAGTATTCCATTGTATAAATGTACCACATTTTCTGCATCCATTCTTCTGTCGAAGGGCATCTGGGTTCTTTCCAACTTCTGGCTATTATAAATAAGGCTGCTATGAACATGGTGGAGCATGTGTCCCTGTTGTATGGTGAAACTTCTTTTGGGTATATGCCCAGGAGTGGTATAGCTGGGTCCCCAGGTAACACTATGTTCAATTTTCTGAGATATCGCCATACTGCCTTCCATAGTGGTTGTACCTGTTTACAATCCCACCAACAGTGGAGGAGTGTTCCTCTTTCTCCACATCCTCGCCAACATGTGCTGTCACCTGTGTTTTTGATCTTAGCCATTCTGACTGGTGTAAGGTGGAATCTCAGTGTTGTTTTCATTTGCATTTCCCTGATGACTAGTGATCCTGAACACTTCTTTAGGTGCTTCTCAACCATTCGAACTTCCTCAGTTGAGAATTCTTTGTTCAGCTCTGTGCTCCATTTTTTAATAGGGTTCTTTGATTGTCTAGAGTCTAATTTCTTCAGTTCTTTGTATACCTTGGATATTAGCCCTTTATCAGATGTAGGGTCGGTGAAGATCTTTTCCCAATCTGTTGGTTGCCGCTCTGTCCTATTGACTGTGTCCTTTGCTTTACAGAAGCTTTGCAGCTTTATGAGGTCCCATTTGTCAATTTTTGTTCTTAGAGCACAGGTCATTGGTGTTCTGTTCAGGAACTTTTTCCCTGTGCCTATGTATTCCAGGCTTTTTCCCAGTTTTTCTTCTATTAGTTTCAGTGTGGCTGGTTTTAGGTGGAGGTCCTTAATCCATTTGGAATTGAGCTTTGTACAAGGAGATAAGTATGGATCAATTTTCTTTTTTCTACATGCTGACAACCAGTTGGACCAGCACCATTTGTTGAAAATGCTATCTTTTTTCCATTCGATGGTTTTAGCCCCTTTGTCAAAGATCAAGTGACCATAGGTATGGGGGTTCATTTCTGGGTCTTCTATTCTATTCCACTGATCCTCCTGCCTGTCTCTGTTCCAATACCATGCAGTTTTTATCACTATCGCTTTGTAGTACAGCTTGAAGTCAGGGATGGTGATTCCTCCAGAAGTTCTTTTATTGCTGAGAGTAGTTTTCGCAATCCTGGGTTTTTTGTTATTCCAAATAAATTTTAAGATTGCTCTTTCTATCTCTGAGAAGAATTGAGTGGGAATTTTGATGGGGATTGCATTAAATCTGTAGATGGCTTTTGGCAAAATAGCCATTTTTACTATATTAATCCTTCCAATCCATGAGCATGGGAGATCTTTCCATCTTCTAAGATCTGCTTCGATTTCTTTCTTCAGGGGAATGAAGTTCTTGTCATACAGGTCTTTTACTTGCTTGGTTAGGTTCACACCTAGGTATTTTATATTATCTGTGACTATTTTGAAGGGTGTCATTTCCATAATTTCTTTCTCAGCCAGTTTATCTTTTGAGTAGAGGAAGGCTACTGATTTGCTTGAGTTAATTTTATATCCAGCCACTTTGCTAAAGTTGTTTATCAGGTTTAGGAGTTCTCTGGTGGAAGTTTTGGGGTCACTTAAGTACACTATCATATCATCTGCAAATAGTGAGATTTTGACTTCTTCCTTTCCAATTTGTATCCCTTTGACCTCCTTGTGTTGCCTAATTGCTCTGGCTAGGACTTCCAATACTATATTAAATAAGTAGGGGGAGAGTGGGCAGCCTTGCCTAGTCCCTGATCTTAGTGGGATTGCTTCAAGTTTCTCTCCATTTAGTTTAATGCTGGCTACTGGTTTGCTGTATATTGCTTTTACTATGTTTAGGTATGGACCTTGAATTCCTGACCTTTCCAAGACTTTTATCATGAAGGGGTGTTGAATTTTGTCAAATGCTTTCTCAGCATCTAGTGAGATGATCATGTGGTTTTTTTCTTTGAGTTTGTTTATATAATGGATTACATTGATGGATTTCCGAATATTGAACCAACCCTGCATTCCTGGGATGAAGCCAACTTGATCATGATGGATAATTGTTTTGATGTGTTCTTGGATTCGGTTCGCTAGAATTTTATTGAGTAATTTTGAATCAATGTTCATAAGAGAGATCGGCCTGAAGTTCTCTTTCTTTGTTGGGTCTTTGTGTGGCTTAGGTATGAGTGTAATTGTGGCTTCAAAGAATGAGTTGGGTAATGTACCTTCTGTTTCTATTTTGTGGAATAGTTTGAAAAGAATTGGAATTAGGTCTTCCTTGAAGGTCTGATAGAATTCTGCACTAAAACCGTCTGGTCCCGGGCTTTTCTTTGTAGGGAGACTTTTAATGGCTGCTTCTATTTCTTTTGGGGTTATGGGATTGTTTAGATGGTTTATCTGGTCCTGATTTAACATTGGTAACTGGTATTTGTCTAGGAAATTGTCCATTTCATCCAAATTTTCCAATTTTGTTGAATATAGGCTTTTGTAGTAGGATCTGATGATTTTTTTAATTTCCTCAGTTTCTGTTGTTATGTCACCCTCTTCATTTCTGATTTTATTAATTTGGATACTGTCTCTCTGCCCTCTGATTAGTCTAGCTAAGGGTTTATCTATCTTGTTGATTTTCTCAAAGAACCAGCTCCTAGTTTTATTGATTCTTTGGATAGTTCTTTTTGTTTCTATTTGGTTGATTTCCACGGTGCTTACATTTGTAGGGTTTCTCTCCACTATGAGTTCTTTTATGTTTCAAGAGCCTAACTCTTCGTGAAAAAGATTTATAACATACATTACATTTGTAGGATTTCTCTCCAGTATGAATCCTTTTAAGCCTTTGGAGACTATGATGTTGGGAAAAGGCTTTCTCACGTTGATTAAATTTATAGGGTTTCTCTCCAGTATGAACTCTTTCATGACTTTCAAGATGACTATGTTTTGCAAAAGCTTTACCACATTGATTACATTCATAGGGTTTCTGTGCAATTTGTGTTATTTTACTCTTCTGGAGACTTGTATAAGGTGCAAAGGCTTCCACACACTGAAAAACTTCATGAGGTGTCTTTTCTGTATGAAAACTTTCATGCCTTTGAGCAGGACTGTGAGCATGTAAAGCAATGGTTTTACCACATTGTGAATATTCAGAGGGTTTCTCTGCACTCTGACTTCTTTCATGCCGTCTGAGTCTTCTGGGTCTTCGACAATGTTCTTCAAAATTTTGGTATTCCCAATTAAATCCTATAGCACTGAGGTTCCTGTAGGTCTCCAGCATGACATCTTTGTAGAGCTTCTTCTGGGAAGGATCCAGCAAAGCCCACTCTTCCTCACTGAAGTTCACATGCACGTCCTCATAAGTCACTGCACTCATATTGCGATTTAGTAGCTCAGCCTGTCAGCGCTCCAGTAAGCAGACCCAGCAGCAGAGGTCAAAGCACATCACATCATCCACTCAAGGCTGTTTGCTCAGGAATGGCCATTCTCACTAATTTTTAAAGACAAGATTCTTTAATTCTTTCTGAGTGAAGCTTTCTTAAAATAAAGCTGTGGATGATCATCACCAAGATAGCTCAAGAGGTCATATACTAGTTAATAACTGTTCCATTCTTATAAAAGTTTTCCAAAAAACACTTCAACTTGTTAGCAAAGAAATGATTCATCTGAAAAGTAAAGATGTTGAATCTAATGATAATAACACAGCAAAAACCATTTTGAATGATTAACGTGATCAATTATATGATTGTGTTCCTTTTAAGAAAAAATGGTGGCCTTGAAAGTATGTTTGACATTTCATTTTGTTGTAACAAGGGAACTACAAGTTTTAAGGTTGAAAGGAAAGATGTTCAAGATTTACTTGGCTGCCTTTTTGAAAAAGGAACTGAGCTTTTATACCATGTATTATGATTTTAACTTCCCTGTCTAATTATGAAACAGCAGTGATCAATGGGATTATTTGGTGGATGGCAGACAAATTCTGAATAGAGTATGATAAAACATAGTATTATTCTATCTCATCAGAAAGCATTTGGGGAAAACACTTTATTAGATGTGGGTTATATCAGTTAACTATTTTCTGTTACATAAGTGATTTTTTTCTACAAATTTTATAGTCTATGCATAACAATGTTTTCTATTGTTTAAACTTATTTATTCTATTATTTTTTGAGTTATTGCTAGAACAACTAATTATTTTCCTTGATAATTAATCTTTCCTATTAATTTGGGCATCAAACAAAAGCAGTACTTTTCCCCATAGTCTTTTGGTAAAAACCTTTATTCTAACAGGTATTGCATTGTTCCCTCTTTAACTATCTTTCCTATAGGGAAAGCAATAGGGTGCTGAATATAGAGCCCTCTTTATGTCATTTTGGCAGCACTGGTTCTTAGAGGAGATATTTAGAAGTGGTTTTGAAAATGACAGTCATCACAACAAGGTTATTTAAAGTATAAAGGAACTGTATTGGTTATCACAAATGAAAATCCCAGAGTTTGTCTGATTTGAGACGAAATTGGATTAAGTGAGAGGGCTGAGTCTGCAGCAGCACTGTGCTACTTTAAAAACTACTGAATTCCTTTTGAAACAGACATGAGATTATCACTCAGAAAATTCTAAGTTCAAACTCCAACTTCCTTAGGCTAATTCAGAGGGAATGTGGTAAACATCATGCAAACTGTCATCTCACTCTCCAGCCAGTCATTCAGTATCAGTCTATAGAGTCTCAATGATATAATTTGTAAGCTGGCCACTAAACCACATGACTGGCCATTAGATTTGATTGGTTGTAATACAATTAGAATTTCTTCATAATTTTCTGTATACTCTAGCTGCTAACAAAATAAGTGAAACTAAGTAATTTATCACAAAGAGTAGTTTATTTGCCCAGGTTCAGGAATCAGAGCAGTTCAGGAATGAATTGTAAGGATATGACAAGGGCTTTCTTTCTTCATTTATCACATAGCAGCAGATTTAAAAAAATGAGCAAAAGGTAGCTACAATCACTTCTTACATGTAATTTGTAATAATTGAATTACATTAATTGATTGATAAACCATTCTTACAGCAACTCATATTTTTTTTAAAATATAGGTATTGAAATCAAGTGGGTGAGGAAGTAGAGGGGATATTAAGAGAGATGAGGGAGGAAAAACCATACTCATAATATATTCTATGAAACTATATCTCAATAAAATACTGTATTGAACAATGATTATTAATATTATCCTTTAGATTAAGGCTGCCATGTTTAATCTGCTCTTTAAGATCAAATTTCATAATACTCAATTAATACAACTAAATTTCAGTATGAGTTTTGGAGGGAAGAAAACATTCATAGCATAGAGTTTTTAAGTAGGAGGTAAGAAATATATAACATAAAGGGAAAAACTAATGTTATTATATTAAAAGTGTATTATATTGAAAGCAAACAAATGTTATTATATTGAGAGTGTATTACATTGATACTCTATGAAGAGATTTATGTCAGTGTTATAAGTTACATATCTTTATCTAAAAGTGTTTGTTATTTAGTAAGTATCACTCACGATAGATCACTGGCCTTTTCTTTGTATGTTAGTGGGGGATAGGGAGCACAATAAATTAATGATACACAAAATAGTAGACCAAGGAGTAAATATGATTTTATTATCTCAGACTTGGATTTCACCAAATAGTTTTAGATTTATTTTACCTTATTTTTATTCATTTATTAAACATATAAGTTCAATGAGCCTTAAGCTGTCAGAAGAAAGGCATCAGATACTCTGAATCTAGAGTTACTACAAGCGGTGAGCAATTCACATCACAAGCTCACATCTTCTGGAAAATTACCAAGCACTCTTAACCACTGAACTGTCTTTCCAACCTTTCACTAGATACTTACTGTATTGTGTATTGAAGGAATAAATGCTGAAATGGTGATTAGTTTCAAGGTATTATTATAGTATATATGGAAACCAATATCAGATATTGAAGTATATGATTTTAAAACATTGCATAATAAACAATAAACTGTCATTACAAGCATAAATAGTGACACCTATAATGCAAAAAGTGAAAAGCTTTGAGCTCTTGTATCATCCATGTGACTAAATATGAAGGATATTTTGGTGCATTTTAAAATCACTTCGGTTAGAATGTGGTTTGTTTCCAAGTGTTCACTAAATGGAGGCATGGTTCTCAGAGTGATAGAGGCCATGATCTTATGAGCTAGAGCTAACAACTGATCTTAAGTCACTCAAGGCAGTCCACAGAAAGGATTGGAATAGCTCTTGTCCAACCCTGTTCTCATCTTAGAAATTCATTAATAAACCAGAGTCTGAACATTAAATCTTCTGATGTTCTGTCTAGCCATGTGTTTTATTTTACACATGTCTTTCTACTATAATACCATCAACTATTAAGTCTTCTACAGAGGCTGATCATGATCACATAGAAATACCTGATTGTCAATTTTCATGATGAGTAACATCAAGGTTCTTATAAAGTTACCCAGCCTTGGGTATTTTGGCACACTACTGAAAATGGCCTAAAAAACAATAAAAAAATTATCCTAATGATTTCAAGTATGAAATTAGTTACTGAATATTTAAAGGATCATTTAATATGGAGGTAGTATTTTATAGATTTAAGGGAATTAATAAGTTTACTTTTTAATGTCTATAACATTTTATATCTAAAAGTTATTTTATCCCTAATATTATACAAACATCTTCAGCTATTTGCTTCAACGATAAGAAACTGACAATTTTAATAGGTTCTGACTCCTTCGTTAGTCTCTAGAAGTAGAAATACTCATGTGCATCTGTGGGAAAATGCCACAAAACCAAAAATGGGTTGAGAAAAAAATGGCTGTTAATTTTTCTGCCAGGAGACATTTACCTTTCTTTAGATTTGCTTATTTTGCCTGAAGGCTGGGTGTGGGATGTCAGTGAGACCTTCCAGGGAAGGGTGAATGTTAGAAGATATCTTCACCCTCGGTAATGGAAAATAAGCTAATACACTTCTGATCATGCCACAGAGCTGTTTAGGGGAACAACTTCTTTAGTTCTTAGTAGATCAAGGAAGATCAGATATTCACAGTTACTGAATGGCTGTGGTGATGGATGAAGCTCATCTATGATCTGCCCTTACAGGAAGTTAAATGCTCTCCTTTATCTGTTTTCTGAGATTGTTCATCATTAGTCTTTCTAGATGCTTATTTTCAAACACGAAATAGTGAGAGCACTGTGCATATTTCTCTTGAAAAAGAAACAAAAAACAATTGGCATAGATGTTCAGCAGACATTTTGCTATTAGACTTAGGAGAATTAATATTCAGATCCTTCAAAATTCAACTTAAGCAGAAGATCCAGTAGTATTCTGACTCTTGGAATTGAGAAAACAAAACATATGTTGACCTTACATCACCAAAACTGAATGATTATGAATCCCGTGACTCACTTAAAATTCAGTTGTATTTTCACTTACCATGTTGCCAAAATTTCTAAAACATGATTTTCCATTATCATAATATGACTTGCAAATAAAAACCTTCAAGGTGAATTAAAATTAGAAGGAAATGCTCATAGAAGAACCCTGAGCAGATTTGTAATCTGCATATAATAATGTCACATCTCGAAAAATTCTTTATTCTTTTCATATACAAATAATTATCTCTGTATGATTACCTACGTTTACAAACGGACCTACTGACCATAATACTTGTAGGTCTAAAATTATATAAATCACCACTTTATCTTTCCTAACAACATCAGAAACTAGACTTATAAAGGCTTGCCAAAATAATCACCGAAACAGGAGTGGGGCAAGGATAATACCAACGAACATGGCAAACTGTACAAGAAAATTCGACAAGATATCAACCCTACAATAAGAACTATAGGAAACTGAGTAAACTTGGGAGTGTTTCACCAGGAAAGAGCACAGTAATTGGTTTTTCTGGGCTAAAGACCCTGAAACAGATATACAACTAGCATTATATGGGCTCAGCAGTCATAACATATGACTTTAAGGAGAGAGGAGGGTGTATGTGAGGGTTGGAGACAGGAGGAGAATTAAATCACAGTATCAAACAAATATCTAAATATTTGTGTATTTATTTTGCACACTTATAAGAGAAGTCATTCATTTATAACTAGGATATCCTTTCTAATCTACTCAATTAAGTTTCTACATGGTTATGTGAAAATTTACTAAAACAACTGAAATAATTTATAGGTTATAAATATCTTTCAGTAACATCTTTTGGTATCAGGAATGTTTAGTTTAGTTGTTATTCTTTGCTATAGTAGGTATTGATATAATTAAATTATATTACATATTAAAAATAAACATTTAAGGTATTTCTATTTGATAAAATACAATGGTTAAAATT